CCCGTTTTGAATGTTGCCCCCGTTTAAAGTTACCTCGCCCGTTGGAAATTTCCACCACATAAAAGTTTGACAGCGCCGGAATCGCATCCTCAGAAGTTGCCGTAAGACCAGGACACCTTGACCCATGCACTGCAGGACAGATACACAAGTTAACCTGACAATGCACAGTTACCTGTTAGTCTGGAGAGCTACTGTTACACCGACGTCGCTATCTGACTTATTATAACAAGACCCAAACACCGTCGAGGTGTGGTGGCGATTTTCTTTAAAGCCCCCCATTAATTAGTCGTACGGTAAAATACCCGGCCCCCGAACCCTAGTTTCCCCCCCCCTCCCTTCCCCCCCTACCCATCCTCCCCCCTTTTGAATTTATCCTTGGGGAACCTGCATGCAGTGGGGTGAAATGTTTGTTTTGCATGGGCAGCATCGGGAAATTGCGAAAATAATGTAATGATAATTAAATTACAGAAAGGTAGGGGTGAACTGTATGTGCTTCCTTGTTCGTTTGCTTGGGTTCAATCGAGTTGTCACCTGCGTCATATTTGTATCAATATAATTTTTGGTCACCAGTGATCTAATGGTCAGGATTGGTTCGTTAAGAGTGTGGTTGTCTGTTTTAAAACTCCCCCCAGTCAACTTCTTACTGCCTTCAGTGTTTAGTAGCTGTGTTACTTTGCTCCCGCGTGAATTAAGCTGTTGGAAATTAAATTCACGATTTATTCACGATTATGATTTTTGTGAGCTATAAATCACTCGGATTTGAATTATGAAAAGAACATTTATTGTGACCAGTAGGCCATCACGAGTTGGGAAAGCGGCTTGATTGTTTCAGTTCAGATGACAATATATTTAAAGCGACAAAAGGTTATACTCCATATGATTAATTTTGGTTACTATTAACCGTCGTTATATAGGTATCGACCGTCGATTCAGGTTAGAGTTTATGTTTGTGAGCGGTTACGGATAGGGATGGTGATTGATTGCCTGGACGTTGCTGGTGTGGGGACTGCCGTCCCGTAGCCATCACTATGGAACTCTGCTATTATGGTTTTGAACTTCGTTTGTCCGTATTACACCGCATGCGTCCCAGCTATTTGATAGTTTCTTTACGCGTTGGTGGGGTGAGGTTTAAGCGATTCGGGGCTTTCAACGATGAGCTCTGGCGGGTCTGGGCTTATAGTGCTTGGTAGAATCCCTTGGATATACGTATGCTAATTATATGCAATGTATTTGATTCATGTGTTTCGTATTTAAATTTGTGTTATTTTGATCAGGTATGCATTACAAGCAATATCGATATATATTACCAGTTTTTGTGAACCCCAGTCACATTGAGATCTAGCAGATACAAATGCGACGTGACAGGCTCTCCGGGCACCTTCTGTGTCTGGTTTCAAATATCTTCGATGCTCAGGTGCAGTGCACGTCTTTTGACCTTGGCTTGGCAAACTTAATATATATATTGCATATGTTACAATAATTCATGCCTGCATTTGACGCAACTTCAGTGATGAGACATGTGTCAACTTCATGGCCGAGTTTACAGAAAATTATGTAACCAATTGAATATGGATTACAACAACATAAATTTAAAATTAGAAAAATTATGGAAGGCAATTTCTTTTTATAACGTTAGAGCACAGTTGTCATACAATGTTGCTTAAAATATCATCTTATGTCTTGTAACAACACTCAGATTAATGTAAGCTATATTTATGACTACGATGCTTATCAGTGTCTTGACTTATATAGTACTCTGAAAATTCTGTATGGTAAGCACAATCTAAATAATACTGAGTGAATTAAACAATTGTGCCCCTGTAGACTTGCCTTCTGTGAGACGAGATGCAGTGACACCGATGATGAGGTGGACGTACAATTTATTTCATTGGGGGGAGATTTTCCAAACGGGGCGGGCGCGCCCCGTTTGCGCAACGTGGGGAGAACCCTGCAGTGCTTCAAATTTACACACAGAGTGTCCCAGATTGCATCTCAGAGCTTCTACAATTCAAAACTTTTTCGGGGCGGCATGCCGCCGGACCCCCTAGCAGTGAGTAGCACTCCCATGCTATAATTTAAAAGCTTGGAGAACCCTGGTATCAGGCTTTCATTTTTAAGGGGCGCGATTGCGCCTGCGCTCCACCGCACACCCGAAATTGTGCCCTGGTGCGTCACCGTGCATGCATCATCGCGCCTCATAAAAGTGGTTGAAATCGCGCACCAAAAGTCTGTGTATTATGTTGAAATAGCGCTCCATAGAGTTGTCAATGTTGCAATGGATCGCGAGCCCTGATTGGAGTATCTAGCCCAACTCTAGTTTCAGTAGCCAATGATAATGCAGCTTTCATACACCCTTTGTCGTATCTTAAAACAATGGCGGACCCGGCAAGCAAGCACGCTGTCAACTTCAAAAACTGAAAGAAAAAACCTTTAAAAGTTGGCCCATCGGCGAGTCTTTTGGATATGATACATTTGAATTGATAATTTTACTTTTGATCTGCACTGCAGTGAGTGAGTGAGAGAGTAGTAATTGGCCAGAGGCAGGCCATTTAGATTACCAATTACTGTAGAATCAGTCAGGAGCCGTTCCAACTCTCCAAATGGCAGCACTCATAATGTAATGGACTTGCATTAAAATGGAAGTGCTGCCATCTGGAAAATTGCAACGGCTCCTGACCGACTTTACAGTAATTTGGTTGTTAAGGTTAGGTTGGTTTACAGTTAATACATACATGTACATTGTATTTACTTTTCAAATTCAGAGAGACTGTTCATGTCATGTCAGGCCATCCTTAAAAAATTATATGTTTGCTGTCCTCCGACCGACCCACAAAAATAGCCGCGACCCAAAAGTTTTTTTTTACATTTTGGGTTCTTTTTTTCCCTTTTTTTTTACATTTCTTATAGTTAAGACTGAAACGCAAAGCATGTGTGGCAAACATGAGGACAGACTTAAAATAACTATTATGCCTCACACACACAAAAAAGACCTACCTACCCACTAAAAAAATCATGGGTCGGGGGACAGCAAACATAGAATTTTTTAAGGATGGCCTCAGAATAAATAAAACAAGTTTATTTTTACATCCGATCAACTCTTTTATTAATCTGTGTGCTAGTGTTGGGTTGTTGGATGAAAAGAATGTAATCATGACGAAGCCATTGAATGAATGAAGGTGAAGATGAATGATAATCAGTGGATTGACATGACATCTCAATTTTCGTTTTGGATTTCACTCTAGACTGAGGATTGGTCATGATTCCATCATCACACCCCAAGAGGCATGATGGAGAGCCCTCAAGGAGCTCTCCATCATCCCTTTTTTAAAGGTGTAATTTTTAGTGGAGCTCTCCATCATGCCTCTTAAGGGTGTGATTTTTTAGTGGAGCTCTCCATCATGCCTTTTAAGGGTGTGATTATGGAGCATGAAAAGACCCCCTATGGTGTCCTAGGGGAGTCATTAGTAGTCCTCCTGTACTTTTAAAATCTGAAAGCCTGACGTATTTGCTTATACATGTTCATGGTTGTATCTTCACTGTGTTCAAAGAGCATTCTTGTTTTTTTCTTACAATATAGGTTACAACTATGAACATGCAAACCATAATGACACAGAAACACCTAGAGCAATTTTGGGACTTTTGCAGGAAACGACTAAAGCGGTAAGTTATCAAGTTTCTATAATAGTAACATGATATTATGCGGTAAATGAGAGCATTAGCATTTAGCCACCTTGATATTTTTAAAGGACATTATGTCATTTTGATAATATAGTATCTAGTGAAATGACTTCGGAGTCTCTAACATTTACAGGGAACCTGTTCAGTATATCATAGGAGAATGGGATTTTTGTGATATCACACTGAAGATGAAGCCACCTGTTCTGATTCCCAGGCGGGAAACTGAGGTTTGAAGCATTAGTTGCGACCCTGACTATTATTTATGCATAGATACCACCATATTTTACAACTTATATGAGGCTCTGATGCATTAGCTGCACCCTTAATTTAGAAGATATTAATCTGAAACAGTGACTGTAGCAAGCGGCTTGAAGCCTCTCCGCTACCAGGTATCAGGGTTCTCCCCAGGATGAAATTCAAACAGGGGGGAGTTTTCCCAAACGGGGCGCGCGCGCCCCGTTTGCGCAACGTAGGGAGAACCCTGGGTATGTGCTCGCCCTGTGGCCACGATTCCCGCCCTGCTTTCATTTATGGAACTAGTAGCGCCATCTATCCATACATATTATCTTGCGATTGCAGCGCTCACGTCGCAACATGGCAGCGCCCAGCCCCTAAGGAGATTAGTCAAGATCACATTTTAGTATATTGCCGCCATAACCAGTCTTAATCTGTATTTCTCAGTGTGAACTGAATATTTTCGCACATAAGTTCACCAATATGGCTACCGACGATCAAGTCGACCCACAGATGCAACAGATGTTAATGGTTGAACAGCAGAAGGCCCAGTTTCAGCTTCAAGTGCATCGACTGGCTGACACGTGTTGGGAGAAATGCATGGATAAGCCGCGCGACAAATTGGATAGCAAGTCCGAAGCCTGCTTCAGTAACTGCGTCGAGAGATTCATTGACACATCGCTGTTGATATCAAATCGGTTCTCACAGTTGATTCAGCGTTCAGGGCAACATTGATGTCAGCCTGCGATTAGTTTACCAGTAATACAATTATTAGTAATAAGTGCAGATGCCATCATTTAAATTTTAAACGTAGAAACATTTCATTCAATTCGATATTGTATTTGTAGGCAACGAAGTAGATTATCCCCTAGTTGCTAAACTAATTTGAGCGACGAGATATTTTGTGAATGGTCACCAGAGTAATGGCATTTGTGTTAAATTTGGAAGCCTGGACTTATTCTTATCAACAGTGATAACACGGCGAATATTCACTGTTATATAGTACTGCCAGTACTACTTGTAGTTGGCACTAGTACTATTAATACAACTACAAGCCAAACGTGAACTAGAACTTGAGCCGATATATAAACATTTTTCCATCAATTGTTTGACTTTTGAGAAAGTCTTTAACTTCATTGGCTAGTGGAGTCAACAAGAAGTGTATTGCTACATACGTACCTGCATTCATATGAAAGTGGAGCAGCAACTACGGAGCCTGCCCAAGATGAGGTATTCACTGATTTGAATTAATATGCTAGACTGACCCGGCCCATAAATCATGAAGAATCAGTGACTGATGCATCCTTTTACCAAATACCAGAGCAATATTTTCCCAATTAAAAATGGTTGTTAATCATTCTCATTTGCTATCAGTATTAGTGAGCATATGCAAGGTCTGTTAATTAACCACGACAGGAATTTTGTCGTTACCAAGCTTATGAATAGCTGAGATATTTTTACATGGTTTTCTCTGTGCTTTATCAAGATTGAAGGGTGGGTGATAATGAATTATTGTACGTCCCACTCGTTCACTGCTTGGTCAACAGAGCAATTTATGGGGCATTGTTTAATTCCTCAGATTCATGATTTGCTCCCAAAGATTTTTCAGTCTATATAATCAGTCTTACATGAGCATAAATGCTTCATTATCTTGTGTGTTCAGCCATAACAGTGTATGTTTAGCAACATTTATGACAACTGTGCTTAGTTATAAAAATTAAATTGTTCATAATTTTTTTTCCTAAATTCTTATTTATTTTTGTAATCAGTTTAATTGTTTACATAATTTTTGTAAACCTGGCTGAAGTTACACATGTCTCTATATGAAGTTGCGTCAATATGCAGGCATGAATCTTGTAAATCATATATATTTAAAGGTTTTTGCCAAGGAAGGTCAAAGACGTGCTTGCACTGTCATCAAGGATATTTGAAAGACAAGAAGTGCCAGAGCCTTCAAGTTCTGCATGTTATCTGCTAGCTGATGTGATGGGTCACAAAACTGTAAGTGTTGTAATGCAACGTGATCAAAACACATAAATTAATACGAAACATGAATTAAATACAATTGTATTGTACGTATCCAGGGTTCTCCAAGGGCACTTATAGCCTGGACCGCCAGGCTATCGTCGAGCCCCGCCATCCTAAAATGCACCCACCACGCTAAATATCATAGCTGCCATGCTGGTGTATACACAAGAAGTTCAAACAATTAATACACGTTGTTCTCGATGCTACGGGTACGGCAGTCCCACACCAAGTACAAACAGTCACCCTATCCCTATCCCTAACCCTAACACTAACTCTAAACCGACTCGGCTATCTTATATACGCGTGTTATAGTACCAAAATTAATCTATGGTGTATAACTTTTTGCTTTAAATATTTTGCATCTGAACTGACAATCAATCCCTTCCAACTCGTGTAGGCTAGCTGGCACAATAATGTTCTTTTTCCTACTTCAAATCCGAGTGTTTTCCAGCTCATCAAGAAATCATAATCGTGAATTAAATCGTGAATTAATTTCCAACGGCATTAT